AAAAAGGTGGGAGGAACAGATACTCGGGCTTCTTTCTATCATTCAAGGACTTTATCAGTAATATGGGTATGCTTGAGTCTCAAAATGCAAGGAGACCCCTGTCCCTTGGGCAATAATAGAGATTCAGAGGGCTATATTGCAAAAAAGCTAGATTGATTGTTTGGCTCCTTAGATTGAGTCACTCTTTATCGAAATGCTCAAGTTCACAATATATTTAAAAGTTCTTCAGATCACAGTTTACTCCTTCTAGACTAATAGTGAAATGGACTTCACCCGGGCTCCTTCAACTCGGACGGCTTCCGTACCTGCACTCAACGCCGTGAGGGGTCTCGGCGTCAAGCCTTGGATACCTAAGTCAGCACTTGCCCGAGATGGATTGCAATATTAGAGTATAATAGTGAATATAGAGAGAATGAGTTTTAGTGATACCATAGGCCCCTTTTATAGGGGAAGTATACCTTAGTGCCCAAGTTTGGCTTGAACAACACCATTATGACATGTATCATAGCCCATGTGTAGGTTTATTCCCCACTAAAATCATCTAGTATGATATTCCATATCATAAACTGTCTAGCAGGACAAACTCACATGAAAAGAAGATTCCCCTTTGATAAAAGGTGGCTCAGTAAACCACGAATTCAAAGAACTGTTGAACAAGCTTGGAAAAAACCTCAACCAGACAGTCATATGTTCAAAGTTCAATCCAAAATAGGAAACAAGGGTGGAGCTCAAGTGGAGCACCAGCTTCAGATCATCCAATCTCAAAATAATTGAAATATCCTTAAGATATTAGCTGAGATGAAGGAGAATGAAACGTTTATAGATCAGAATCTTTGGGATTCTTTGCAAAAAGAGTTGAATAAAGCCTACAAGTTTGAGGAGCAATTTTGGAGCACAAATCTTGACTTTCTTGGCTAAAGCATAGAGATAAGAACTCCAAGTATTTCCATGTTCAGACTATGCAAAGAAGGAAAAAGAACTGCATCACAAAACTGAAAAGAGACAATCAGACCATTTGTGAAGGCAAAGATTAAATTGCTCAATATTCTACACCAAGTTGTTTACCTCAGAGGGCTCTGAAGAGGGAGAAAGACTGCTACAAGATATTTTCCCTGTCGTCACTAAAGATTTGAACTCTGAACAACTGGCCTCAGGGGGTGATGAAGAAATCAGAGAAGCTCTATTTTGCATAAATCCAAACAAAGCCACAGGACTTGATGGTATGACTTCCATCTCTTTTCAATCATTCTAGTTTGTTATTATAATGGATCTGTGTACAATTGTTATTATTATTATTATTATTATTACTATTATTATTATTATTATTATTATTATTATTTTAGTTTGGCCAACTTCTAAAAAGTATTAACCATACTCTTGTCACCCTAATTCCTAAAATTTCCCATCCCGAATTTCTCATTTTAGACCTATTAGTCTTTGTGGGGTTGTTTATAAAGTCAGTTCTAAAATTTTAATAAGGAGACTGAAAACATGTCTTCCCCTATGTATAAGTGAAAACCAAACAGCATTTGTTTTTAATAGACAACTTCTCGTTAATGTGATTCTAACCCTAGAAGTTATCCATTTCCTTAACAGACATAGAAGTGTGAGTAGTTACTATATGACACTCAAACTTGACATGGAAAAAGCATTTGGTAGACGATTGGAAGTGAGTGAGTAAAATTATGATTAAATTGGATTTCTATACCTCTTTTGTGAATTGGATTATGTCTTGCATTACTTCTGCTCCTTTTCTTTAATGTCAATGGTGGATCTTGTGGTTTTATTGCTCCTTCAAGAAGAATTAAACAGGGAGACCCTTTGTCCCCTTATGTGTTCATCCTAATCTCTGAAATATTATCTTATTTGACCAAATTGGAAACTCAAAAATGCCAGCAGCAGGGACTGAAAATTTCCCAAACAAGGCCTACCATTTCTCACCTTTTTTTTTTTGTTGTAGATGACACCCTCATTTTTGCTAAAGCAAAGATAAATCATGCCCTCGCCTTGCTTAAAATTCACCATAATTACTAAAAATTCATAGTGCAAAAAGTCAATCTAAATAGGTCCTCAATCTTTTTTTAGCAAAGTAGCCCGTCCTATCTCCAAAGCTCAACTTGCAACACAGTTTTGAGAATTACACCTCAAAAATCCTCAAGATATCTAGGGCTTCCCTTAGGAATAGGGTAATAAAAAATATAAAGCTTCTCTTTTATCTAAAAAAAAAAAAAAAAAAAGCATTTTGAATTGGAAAAACAAACTTTTAACTTTTGCAGGTAAAAAGGTTTTGCTGAAGGTTGTCCTAAGCGCTCTCCCTATATATGTTATGCGTTGCTTTCTGATTCCAAAAAGCTGTTGGCAACAAAATTTCTCGACTCTTTGCCAAATTCTGGTGGAATACTGGGAATCGAACAACAAAACTGCACGGAAAATCTTGGAACATGCTTACTCTGCCAAAAGACAAAGGGAGACTAGGATTCCATGAAATACATCTAATGAACAAAGACTTCATCACCAAGAAGTTGTGGAGGATTCCTCCACCGGCTGAAACGGATTGGTCAAAAAGACATTTTTGAGCTTGAAAAACAGAAGTTAACAACCGGCAGCCGGCCCAAACATGAGCCGAAACCGTAGCTAAGTACTTTCCAAATAACAACTTCTTCTAAACCAAACACAAAAAGAATGGATCTTGGATGTGGCATAGCTGGCTAAAAGTAAGGGATTTCAAGGAAGCCTAAGATATGAAATAAAAGAGAGGAACTCACCAAAACTATCGGAACACCCTTGGATTCCCAACCTGCCAGG